CCTGCCCACACCCCCATTTAAAACCATTTTTCAGACAGGGTCTCACTAAGTTGCCCAGGCTATGTGCAAACTTGCAATCCTCCTGCCACCATGCCTGTCTTCACTCTGATGGGTTTGAGTTTTATGTTTACTCCCCTAGTAGAGAACTAAGTTCCATTGTCGGCCAAGAGCAGTATAATAACTGAAGTGAGTGGATCTATTAGAGCATTACCATCAGCACTGTTCTTTGTCCAGGCTTTCAAAATAGCAGATAGTGAGTTATTTTTTAGTTGCATGTTCCCTATATATACATTAGAGTCTTATAATGGATAACAAATGAATTAATGAAATTGAAAAGCCTAACTTTTTTTTAGTGTGTGTAATACTGGGATTGAACCCAGGACCTTTGCACATGATATGTAAGTGCTCTACCACAAAGCTACATTCCCCACCCTCAAGCCAAGCATGTTAAGGAGAAATAACTACCAGGGACAGGGAGATAGCTCAGTGGCATAAGCACCTACCTGGCAAGTGCAAGGTCCTGAGTTTGATCCCAGGTACCACAAAAAAAAAAAAAAAAAAAAAAAAAAGCTGGGGGGGAGGGGAGAAAAAGAAATAACTACCTCTAACACTGAGAGTATACTAAAAAATTGAATTAAATAGTTTAAATGAGTGAATTATGTATGAATTATATACCAGTAAAGCTTTTTTAAATGTATTTGGTACAGGGTCTCACTACACAGCTCAGACTTGTAGTGATCCTCCTGTTCTCAGCCTCCCTGGCACTGGGATTACAGGTGTGCACCACCACACTGGGTCTTGGGCAGCTTAGTGCACCTGGAAAATGGGCGACATGGTGCCAGGGCTTGAACCCTGGTCCCTGCATTTGCCTGAGCAGGTGCTTAGTCCACTGAGCCATCTGGCTGGTCAAAAAAAGCTGTTTTTATAGAAACTAATCTCCACCAAAATACTTTATTGTGACCCATAGTTTATAGTCTATTGAGAAAATTAAAAGAATTTGGCACTCTCCAGGGCTCCCAGGTGATCTTTTGATTACTTGTCACATGTTCATAAATTAGTTTTTACCCAACATAGTCTTGAAATATTAACCCATTACTAGAGAAATACAAGGACTTGTGTATTATAGAATTTATTGATAGGGTTCTTAAAATATATTTAAATCTTTTCAGTATCCCTCTCCCAACTATTCTCTGGAGTTAATATCTTCCTCTTTTATAGATGGTAAAACTGAAGTTTTTAAGATTATGCTCCTTGCTGTAGGTCACGCTGCTGTGTGTGACTGAAGTGAGCTTGTGCGAAAGCTCATGACTTGATTTTTGCCTTTTCCTTATCAAAGCTGTTCATAGTAATGCTATTATTTGTCTAATCCCTGAACTGTCTCTGCCTCTATTTCTGTCGCTTTTTAGATCTATTCCTCCTTTACTATATACGGCTGAGTTTGCCAAGCTCAGAATGCTGAAGACATAAATCATTTGGCTCTGCAGTATTAGCATTGGACTAAAACCAAATTCAAGTAGCAAAATAACACATGGTGAAAGTATGGGCTATGTTTCTACGATGCCAGGCAGTCGAATTAATTCTTTGAGAGGAGGTGTGAATACACATGTATAATGATACTTTTACACAACTGTGAGCAAAATATTTTGTCACATTGCTCTGTTTTGTTAAGTTTGGTCTGCCATCTGCCATTCTTGCATTGATTGGAGTGGAACACCATTAATAGCAGGGACTTGCAAGAGGCCACAGATTTTTTTCACTGAAAGATGTAGTGAATGGTTGTTGTATTTCTTCTGTTTTTCTATGCATCATGTGAGAAACTTTCACTGGAGATAGTTACAGAATAATAAACCTTTCTTTCTTGGCATTGTATGTGTGAAATAGTTAATGAATTTCAATTTTTAAATCTTATAGTTTAAGGAATTTTTTAAACTTATTTTTTTATACTTTATAACTATAAGGCTAAGTTTCCTTATCATCCAAGAAGGATAATATCAGAATAAGTTATATACAGGACAGTCAGTTTTTTGGTTGTTGTTGTTGTTGGGTTTTTTTGCTGTTGTTTTGTGTATGTGTGTTTTGTTTGTTTGTGGCAGGGTCCTTTATACAGTGCAGGCTGGCTTGAACTCGCCTGTGTAGCCCAGGCTGGCCTCAAACTCACTGTGATCCTCCTACCTCAGCCTCCCAAATAATGGGATTACAGGCTTGTGCTGTCATGCCCAGCAGGATAGTCAGTTTTGAAAGGAAAATGTGTAATGAGAAAGTATAAATATTTTCATGAAGGGGGCTGGTGAGATGACTCAGTGGTCTAAAGCACCTACTGACATTGCCAGTTAAACAGAAGACCCAAT